TGCCTTGTTGCAGGTAATCTATCAGCGGAGTCATCCACGTGGGTCCCGCTGTCGTAAGTGTGTTTACCTGCTGTTCCTCTATACTCCTTTCCTTGAGTACTTCGACTAGAACTTTCTTTGATAAGTGGTCAAATCATGTCGATGCGAGTTTGCTTAGGGCGTCTGCCCTCCTGTTCTCACTCCTTGGGATCTGTTTGATCGTGAATTCCTTGAAGGACTTAGTAAGTTGTCGCACTGTTTTAACGTATCTTTCCATCCTCTTGTCTCTTGTTTTGAAACTCTCATTTACTTGATTGGCAGCCAATCTTGAGTCCATTAGCGCTGCTACGGCTTCTGCCCCCAGTTGCTGGGCCAGGCGTAGGCCGGCGAGCAGCGCCTCATACTCCGCCTCGTTATTTGAGGTGTGGAAGTCGAAACGGAGGGCATACATAACTTCTTCTCCCTCTGGGCTGGTTAGGATTAGGCCAGCCCCTGAGCCTTCCCTGCTGGACGCTCCATCTGTGTACATCGTCCACTTCCGACTTTCCTCTGAGATCTCTTTTACTGCCATAATTCCTCCTTTGGCTGCGTCTTTTTCTCCCGGGACTTCGAGCAGGAAATCCGCTAACGCCTGTCCCTTGATGCTTGTCCTTGGCCGGTAACTGATGTCATGCTCACCCAGCTCTATTGCCCATTTTGCTAGTCTGCCTGACGTTTCGGGCTTGAGTAATATTTGCTTGATCGGATGATTCGTTAGGACCTCTATTTGGTGCGCCTGGAAATACCGCCTTAATCGTCTTGCAGCATAAATTAGTGCCATCACCATTTTTTCCAGGGTAGGGTAGTTAAGTTCGGGGCCCTGTAGCGCTCGGCTTACGAAGTACACTGGCTTCTGCTCCCCTTCTCTTTCCACGACTAGTGCAGATGATATGGCTTCAGCTGAGGTTGAGAGGTATACTTGTAATATTTCTCCCGGGATGGGGCTGGCTAGCGTGGGTAATTTGTGTAAGGCTTCTTTGATGCCTTGGAGCGCCTCCTCTGCTGCTGTCGTCCATTGGAAATTACTTTTCTCAATACAGCCCTTTAGTGTGTTGAATAGTGGCATGGCCCTGTCGGCCGATTTTGAGATGAACCTGTTGAGTGCTGTGATTTTCCCATTTAGGCCCTGCGCATCCCTTAAAGTGCTTGGAGGTGGAGTTTCCATGAACTCATCCACTTTTGCGGGGCTGGGTTGGACGCCTTGCCTAGTGACATAGTATCCTAGGAACTGGCCTTCTTCAACTCCAAAGGTGCACTTGTTCGGGTTCAACTTCATCTTTGCCTCTTCCAACGTCCTGAAAGTCTCTTCGACATCCTGTAGCATTCTTTCTTCATCTTCGCTTTTTATGACCATATCGTCAACGTACACTTCGATGTTCCTTCCAATTTTCTTTGAAAACATGGAGTCGACCAAGCGTTGGTATGTTTCCCTCACATTTTTTAGTCCGAACGGAATTTTGGTGTAGCAAAATGTGTCGTGATCTGTGTAGAAGGCCGTTCTTTCCTCGTCGTCTTTGTTCATTAGGATCTGATGATACCCTTTATATGCATCCAGGAAACACTTTAACCTGAAACCTTGTAACGATTCTACCTTCTGGTCGATTTCTGGTAGGGGGTAGCAGTCCTTAGGGCATGCTTTGTTGAGATCAGAGAAGTCGATGCACATGCGCCACGACCCATCATGTTTCCGTACCATGAAAGGATTAGCTATCCAGGTTGGGAAGATTGCTTCTCTCAAGATCCCCACCTTTGTCAGTTTGGCTACCTCTGCGTCGATCGCCCTATTGCGATCTCCTCCTTGAACCCTCTTTTTCTGCTTAACTTCCTTTGTGCCTAGTTTAATCATGAGCTTGTGCTCTATGATTTTCCGGTCTACGCCAACCATGTCTGTGGGGGCCCATGCAAACACGTGTTTGTACCGTCTGAGGAGGTCCGCAAGTGCTCGTCTGGTGTTCCCTGCGAGGTTGTGGCCGATGCTAATCGTCTCATCGGGGTATTCCTCGTTGATCACTTCCTTCTCGTTTGCCGGTCCACTCCGTGCCTTTTTGGTTTCTCTTGTTATTTCAGTTGGCTGCATGATTGCGAAACATTGCAGTTGTCTTGGCGATGTGGCCATAATTGTAGCCGGTCCATCACTAGTGTTGAACTTCACTATCCCGTTCATTGTTGATGGGATCGCTCCCAACTTAAGCAGAGTTGTCCTGCCCAAAATGATGTTATGTTCTGCTGAATGTCGAATGACTACAAAATCGACCATAACCGTTTTCCTCCGCTGCTTATCGTGGCTAGTCAGCGTGAGTGGGAGGTGGATGGTTCCTAGTGGCCAGAGACTGTGTCCTATGAAACCGACCAATCTTCCTGATGTAGATCTTAAGCCATCCTCCCACCTGTCTGGGAGTAGGCGAAAGCAGTGTTCGTAGATGATGTCCGCTGAGCTTCCTGTGTCGATGTATACCATGTGTATAACCACGTCCTTAATGGAGGCTTGGATTACGCGTGGGTTATCACCTGTCCAGCCTTCTGGCCTGGGATCCTGTGCCGAGAACGTGAGTGCTTGTGTTGCGTCCGCAAGGTTCTCTGGGCGAGTAGTCCCTTCGTGCCTACCCCTCTTGCCGCGTATCATGAATATTTCTTTAGGCTGAGTGCCCTCTTTCGGAGCTCCTTTGGCGTTTTCTGCGTCGAATTTGGCACGTAGACTACGTGCTATCTCCACAAGATCCCCCTTAAGTTTTTTCTCCTCCCTCTCTTTCTTAAGGACTGAGAAATTAACAATATCGTGTGTTTTGCTTTTGGGGTATTCACAGTACCGTCCTCTTGGTGCCTTTTCTTGTTGCTTGTCTGCGACCGCGTATACCTCTGGCCGTCGGCTTCGTCTGTCGTCTCTGACGAATGGCCTGAAGCGCCCCATCGGTCTCTTTCCTCTTCCGGAGTATCTGCTTCCTCCCGACGCTTCTGCGTGGGTTGGATTATAGCGTTTGACTGTCATGGCGCTCAGGTATGCTTGTTTTGCCGCCTCGCCTTCCTCTTGTCTTAGGTACCTCTCCACCCTTTCCTTCAATTCGGCTCTTGTCTGTGGCTTTTTTCCCATGAGTTTTTGTGACAAAGGACCTGGCAGGAGTCCCCATGTGAAAAGCTCCTGCTATGAGGCCTTCGTCGTGACCTGGCACATCTAACATGGCATTCGTGAACCGCGTGAAATATTCTCTTACCGTCTCCCCCTCCTTTTGCTTACACCCAATGATGGAGTAGGAGTCACCTTTGCACTTACGCAATTGCATGAAGTTTGTAAGGAAGAGATATTGAGTTGGCCAAAGTTGTAGATGCTACCCGGTCGCAATGTTTTGAACCACGTGCCCGCATTTCCATCTAGGGTGGTCGGGAAGTATGTGCACCAGAAACGCTCGTCCAGCTTTAACGACGTCATCGTCCATTCGTACGTATCAATATGGCTATCCGGATCGGTTGTACCATTTTAGGTTTTCAAGTTGGGGAGTTTTGCTGTATTTGGAATTTCGTAATCTAGCAGCTCCTTGGCAAACGGGGGATGTAACACTCCGTGACAGGCAATCCTGATTAGGTATGGCTAGCGGGCCTTGCGCATCGTGGGGCGTACTATACGACGACGCTCCCAGATGACCGTAGAATGCCTGATACCCCAGGTTGGGACCATAGAAGGCTTGTTGCTGGAACGGCAGCTGTAACGAGTATCCTGGATGCATGAGCGGAGTTTGGGTTGGGAGTTGTGTTGGTATGGGTTGCTGTCGGGTCATGTTGGTGGTTACCAGAGGTTCACCCCAAGTGCCTGTCGTAGAGTAGGAAACCGATGGTGGTGCTGTCATGGCTTGTGCGAGCGGTGGGAGCGTCGGCTGTGTGCTTGTTGGTATCTGGCTTCGTGGCAGCACATGAAATGTCGGTTGGGCGTTTGGTGCTTGGTTGATTGCCATCGCTGCTGGAAAAAAGGGAAGTTGGTTTTGTACCACCGGGGTAAAGAATGGTGATGTTTGGTTTACTGAGAATTGTGTCGCCGTTGGCTGAAATGTCAACGGCGGTATCGTCCCCAAGGTTGGCCACATTTGTTGGGGTGGTGGTTGAGCGGTGGTTTCAGTGTTCGCTTCCGGTAGTGCGGGAAGCGGTTGGGCTAACTGGCGGCTTGTTGATGGCACCGGGGTTAGCACAGAGCTTCCCTCCCCGGTGGCTTCTTTGGTGGTCGTTATAGGCGGTGGCATGTCGTCCAACGGTGTCATGGAGCGTATGGGGCTGTTCTGAACTCGTTCGACTCCGTCGCCGCCGTCAGACGCCATAGATTCTATTGAACAGTGGTTTTGTTTTCGTTCTTCGTCACACAAAATGGATGGCGCCAAATGATGCGACCTTGCTCCGGTGCTCTGATATGGCGCTAGGAAGTATCTGCAAGGTCACAAGAGAAAATCGTCGTCAGCCCCGGGAGGAGGCTCCCGGAAGAACGCTCCGACGGTCAAGTTAGGTAGTGTTTTGAGTATTTCTGATCGGAGTGGCTTGGTGAAGAATGCTTACATTTAGCGCTCCTAAATGCGTCCTTTTATACTTAGCGACCCTGCTCGTCCGTACGAGACAAGATCACTTTTAGGGGACAAGGTCAGAGGCGCTGATTGGAGGGTTGTGCGCCTCTTTCTGTTAGAGTACTGCCATTGGCTCCGACGGTAATGCTCTGATCCTTCGCCTTGTCGCTTGACCGTATCCTTTGTCTTGATGCTGCAAGCATCCCTGGCGGGCGCGAGACTTTCATCGGGGCACCCTGCTCTTAGGGGCGCTGGCGGGCACTGAGTCCGCTTCTCTTGGCTCGGCCAGGACGCCAGGTCTCATGGCCGGGCGCGACTCTTCCATGCTGGCTTAGGCACGTCATCATCCAAAAATCTTAAAATCAAAATTTTTAACTATAGAAACAGTATGTATGGGTAGTTTGGTCCAAAAACTGGAAAAAGTAACTCTAATTATATGAAACCCTAATTGGATGTTGAGTAGAAAGGAAACCCCTAATTACAATGATCATAATATTCAAACTTAGGCCTTATTTTGCAAGATGAAGTTTTTTCTTCCTTTTGCATAGACAGTTCTCTTGAAACAAATAGGAAAAAACAATAGTTGGAAAAGTTAAGGAATAAAAAAAAACAACCTGCAATATATCATTTTCACGATCCTTGGGTCTCTGGCAGGTAACTTTCAATAAAGTAGTAATCTGTTTCTCATTTAACCTTTTTGTATATCGTCGCCCTTCAACTATTTTACATGCCTGGCCAATAAATAAAAAATTCAAAGGTAAATTTATACTGTAGTCAAGCCAAGTAAAGTATACCAACAGAAATAGTCAAACTTGCATGCATGAACTAATCAGATCTTGACCTCCATTGGTAGATAGTTGGCCTTCTTTTGGTTTCCTACTTGAAGGCAAGGGAGATGAGTTAGCCGAATAGTGAATCCATACATTTCTTGAAAGTATTTAACAACAGACTTCATCTTTGCATTGTCATCAACTGGGAATCTGTTAAAAAAAAAAGGTTAAGTAAATTTCTTCCATAGATAAACTCTCAATCATTTTATATTTAGTATCACTTGTTGAAAGAAGGTTAACATGACCCATCTAATCTCGTTCATACGGTTCATTCAGTCCAAAAAAAAAGTATTTGTTGATACAACACTTGATCCATACAGAACATAACTCTTACACTAATTCTCTTGTGGGCTGCGACGTTAATCCAAAAACTCGATATTTTCTTCCTACACTCCCTCTGTGAGTGACTTCAAATTTGACTCCTCTAAGAGCCCTTTTAATCTACAACAAGTTTATTTTGTATATTAAATGCAAGAAGAGTGATAATTTGTTGATTAAAGAGAAAAGGAATACCTATACCTTGACATGGTCAGAATCAGAGAGCGGTCTGGATAGCATACCTTTGCCAAGAAGCCGGCCTACGAAATCTATTGCCGCGAGAGCCTCAATAAAAGCCGCTGAAGCCATATCTATATTATACAATGAATATAAAATCAGCAGTAACTTTCCATTTTCCAATTATGATCCCAGCCTTTTAATTAATTTCAAACACTTTTGTTCTGTGTCTGTCATACGACAATCCCATTTGAGTAGGCCGAATACTCTGGTAGAATCCACACCACGACTCCAGGCCTTCTCCCAGCTGCTGCACTTTCCCAATATTAGGAGAAAAGAAGGACCTTCCCACCCGACAATACCTATTCATCAACTCATGAATCAATAATAAACTGACTCATAAAGTGGGATTTGGTATGTGTATAAACTGACCAAGAGGAAGTTATTTTGAAATACCTACCATCCCTAGAAGTTCTATCTGTATGAAGCAGCAAGTATCCAATTGGATCCCTAATGCTACCTCTGCAAAAGTTGAAGAAAAGAACACAATCATTAGAAAGTGGGATTTGGTATGTGTATAGGTGATTGCGTTGATGGTGGATCCTGCGATGTGAGTCGGTTCTTATTTGATTCATGTGATTGAAATAGATTTGATCGTGTTTTCAAAAATTACCATCGTAGGGTTCGAAGAGATTACCTATTATAAAGGGTAACTTGGGTAAGAATTGTATGAAATATCTTCACGAAGTGGCCACAGAAGGAGAGTCAGGTGTAGATGTCGAAATCAGAAGAGGCCAACTTCGGCTCTTGTTCCTGCTGCTACTCGGTGACGGTGACCGGCCATATGCCGCTGCGACACCGGTTTGCTCCAAAATCGTTGCTTTTTCCACTGCCGATTTCGATTGTTGGTAATATCTTCACGAAGCGGCCACAGAAGGAGAGTCAAGTGTAGATGTCGAAATCAGAAGAGGCCGACGTCGGCTCTTATTCCTGCTGCTAGTCGGTGACGGTGACCGGCCATATGCCGCTACGACACCGGTTTACCGCCGATTTCGCATGAGTGATGGGAGGTTTGTGGAAGAAAAGAGAGATAACGTTGACTGAAGATATTTGAGGTGGTGGGAAGGATCCCGAAGCGCATAAATCACAAACGATGATCAACACGTGTATAAAAGAATGTAAATATTCACATAAAATGCCCAGGCACAAAAACAAAACGGAAACAACACATCCATGGGCTATTCTTGCCAAAAAGTACACAACTTCACTATTCATAAATGTGGTCATCTTTAATATATATATATATATATATATATATATATATAAGAATGTCTAAAATTTTACGTAATAAATCAAATTTTCGGATTTTTTTTTAAAAAATAGTATTTTTTTGATTTTTTTATAAAAAAAGTGTAGATTTTTTAATTTTTTTTATAGAAAACATGAATTTTTGAAAAAAAAATTGAAAAAAAATTTAAAAAAAACTGCAATTTTTTTTAAAAGCATTTAAAAATCAATAAATTAAAAAAAAACTGGAATATTTAAAAAATACTATAATTTTTTAAGCAAAAAAAATCAACATTTTAGATATATATATGCATATTTTTACAAATGCATATATGCATATTTCATATACTATAATATTTGTAAGGAAATAATAAGAAAACTCATTTTATTTACTAATCTATAAATACAATAGAATAAGTATTTTATTCGATAAAAAAAATATAAAAAATAAAAAAAATGTTACAAAATTTAATAGGGTTTTCATGTCTTCGTGTCAATATTTTCATATTTCTTCAATTTATCATTTTCACCTCTTCAATATTCACCACAATTTCTTCCAAATCTACAAGAAAATTTAAAAAAATGATTGATGTAAAAACACTTACCGAAATACATATGGGATTTACATGTGATTAACATATGAATCACATGTGATTAACATATGAATCACATGCGCTTCACATATGAATCACATTTACATATGACATCATATGTGATTCACATGTGAATCACATATGATTCACATATAAATCACATGTGATTCACATGTAAATCACATGTGGTTCATATGTGAATCACATGTGGTTCATATGTGAATCATATGTGATTTACATGTGAATCACATGTGATTTACATGTGAATCACATGTGATTAATATGTGAATCATATATGATTCACATGTGAATCACATATGATGTCATATGTGAATCACATGTGATTTACATGTGAATCAAAGGTGATTCATATATGAATCGTATGTGATTTACATGTGAATCACATATGATGTCATATGTAAATGTGATTCATATGTGAATTACTTTCCAAAAATGACCAAATTGCCCATGCAATGCTAGTTCAACATGAAAATTAACATAAAAAAATGACCAAATTACCCACGACACTGATCTATCCTGCAAATTAACATCAGAAACACATAAACGATCCATAAGCCTCATGCAAACAAACAAAAGTAAAAGATTCATGATTTTTACTACAAACATTACAAATGAGAAACAAAATAATATAAAGAAAGCAAACGATAAAATATGCAACAAATAGATACATAAATTTAGGTTGCTACTTGTTGTATGTTGTTAATAACATGTTATGCTGCAATAAATACAATGTCAAAAAGAGATAAACGAATTCAAAAAATTCATGTCACATGGGTATCATCCAAATGATGTGAGTTATAATATCATGATTGACTTTTATATTATTAAGAGATCTTTGAAAGGCTACTTAGGCTCTTATTGCCATGATGTTGCATTATGGCTATCCATCACAAACACAAACTTTTACATATCTGTAAAGGTACTTTATTTATCTAATATTTATACAAACTTGTTCATTCATTATCATCACTTGCTGACTAAATGACAAATAAGAAACTGACCATAAAAAACAAATATTACCCAAACCAGAGATATAAATATCCTAAAAGAGAGAATAACATGCAACATAATTATGATTTTTTTTCGTAGACCGCTATCATCAAAATAATATATTTCAGAGAGCTACGAATGAAATGACAGTTGTGCAAATTAATAGCTTATTTTGTTAGGTATGAGTATCATAGTATTTCACCATCAGATCAAATAGAACCACCATTCATTATAAATTCAGTGAGTGTACCAGATGATTTCATCATCTCAAAAAAGAATCATTGATTAAAAATGTATACGGAAATGCAATATAAAGCCACAGATCTCCTTAATTCAGGTTAACGTAATTAGAATTCATTAAATCTTTGTCCTTAAGGCAATAAGTTTGTGCAAATTATGGTTTCTCATATTCATATTTGATTTGATTCGACAAAACTTATGTTTATTCAAGCCCATTACAATTTCAAGTCAATGATTCTGTTCCTATTTTCCTTTAAACTCAAACTCATAAAAAAACGCATCATTAACATATTTTAACGACCAGATTAATCGTTAACAATTTAAAGAAGTTCATTCTCATTTTAAAAAACAGGTAGTGACAAGTAACATGAATGAAGAGGAAATTCATGCATACATCTATCGATCTGAAAAAGGAATCGAATTGTTTTTCAATTCACATATCTGAAAAATACTTTTAGTGGACAGGGGAGAACAAAGACTTACACGTGAATTAGATCAGTATCTATGGAATGATGTCGATCTGTTGATTTATGTATTCGTTGTCGATGATTAGAGACTGACGATTGTGGATTGGAAGTCGTTGTTGGTCGTCTGATAAATCATCCGGAAATAGAAGCGATAGTTTCATAGCCAGCAATGTCTGTTGTCGACAGAGGAAAGACTTGTCGTAACAATGGAAATATCGGTTCGTAATGACGCTGATTTGTTGATTCACCGATTAGTTATCAATGATTTGAAGATTAGGTATTATGGATTGGAAGACGTCGTAACTCAGAACAAATTCCACCATCCTAGCCATCCGACTTTCTTTTTCTTCATTTTCGTTTACACGTCTGATCGGAAAATCTGCAACAATGGCAATCGATGGAGGCAGGAGGAACCGAGGAAGGGGATGAATATGTGAGGCGTAGATATTTGGGGGGACATAGAAATTCTATGCGTGAGAGAGATAACTTTAGATAATCAGTATTTTATTCCAAATATATTTTACCCAGATTACCCTCACATCCTTCAATTTTAAACACAAAAACCCATCAGATTTCCCGACGAGAGCAGTTAAATCCAGAACGTCATAGCTAGCTAGCATACACTATGACTACTAAACTGGGGGACTTGATGGCGCGCCCCTCAGAGCGGGCCAGATACAGGAGAACCCTCGGCGAGGAGTTCCTAACGAAGCCTGGGCTGGCGACTCGGCCGCCCTGATCGCCCGAGACCCACAAGAGGCGACCGTGTGGGAAGTCCTCCCTCGCCAGTGGTTGTCCTCAGCTACAATCCAAAGATAACGGCTCCAGGCGACAAAGAGCATGGCCAGAGCATTATCCCCTAGACTAATCGTTGGACCGGAAACGAACATGGAGCATGGTCCTCCAATAAGGATGACAGATCCTGCCGGGGTCGCAGTCCTTGTCCCTCGTACGGATCGAGGAAGATCCTCAATAAAAAAGGCTAGTCGCTCTGCCTTGAGAGGTAAGTTATTCTCTCCCGATCATTCACCCTCATACTTCCATACTCCTCCCACTAACTTGACCGTCGGAGCGTCTTTCCAGGACCTCCCCCCAGAAGGCGGCTGATATTTCTTCCTTCTTTGTGACCTCTCAGGTTCTAGTACATCGATCATCTCCCAGCAGCGAAGGTGGTTCAGAGCCAGGTCGCATCATTTGGCTCCATCCGTTTGTGTGACAATAGATACGCAAACCCCATTTTCTCTTTCTCCTTCAACCTAACCACACATGACGAATAAGATGACAGGTGAGGCATCAGAACAACCATATAGCCCGATACACCCGATGACGACGTTGGAACCAACCAACACTCCAGCAGCGCCATCCCCCGGCGGCCCACCACCATCTCTTGAAGCAGCGCCATCCTCTAGCGGCCCGCCTCCATCTCTTGAAGCAGCACCATCATCTGGTGGCCTACCACTGTCTCTTGAACCAACATCATCATCTGGTGGCCTTCCACCACCTCTTGAGGCAACACCGTCATCCGGTGGTCCGCCACCGTATCCCATGACGGCGTCGTCACTGGATGACCCGCCACCCTCCTTTGCAGCAATCATGCAATCAGTTTTAACCCAGAGTCAAACATCACCATCCACCCTGACCCACGCAACACCCCCACCATTCCCAAATAGCAGTGTGCCTAACCAATACATTGTACCCCCTTTGCCGCCATTCTTCCCTAACACCATCGGTTCTAGCAACCCCCAAACACCACCCATAATGTAAGGGTGAAAAGTCACTCTTGGATGTTATGAGGGCTTACTCCTTTGTGTGTGCATAATGAGTTGTCTTTCCTTTATAAGGAAGTGAGTGACACTCATTTTATCTAATGAACATTTTGAGGATTAGTTTAGAGAGAGAAAATTGCAAAACCCATTTTGTACTCTTTCTATGAAACTAATGAGAGCTTAAAAGAATTATTTAGATCTTGTGTTCATGTTCTTGATTTTACTTGATGATTCACTAAATCATTCTTAATTCTGCACATGCCATCATATTCAACACCACTACAATTGGTATCAGAGCGGGTGTTCTTGATTGGATCAAGAATTGATCCTTGATGGCTTTCTAGATTTGGTGATTCTTCATTTTGAGTTTTTGATCTTCATGATTTACAGAGTTTTTGGATTCTAGAAATTGAATTCATCTTTGATTCTATTCATAATTTGATTTTCTTCACTAGAATTCATGTGATTTTTACTTTCTCTCTCTAGAAAACCCATTCAAAATCACTTTCTCTCTTTGGAAATCTTCAAGTTTTTGAAATCATGGTGCGTTTGGAGTATGATTCTTGGGTTGTGATTGTTAAAGATTTGAAATACAAAGTCAACGAATATCAATTCAATGGATTGTTGTTAAGTGGGTTGATTTCGCAAGAAACTTTGATTTCTTATGGAGGTTTGAAGGATGATCATGGAAGATTGATATTTCAACCACTTTTGAAGATTGAATGTTTGTATGATCTTTTCATTATGAAGTTAGTTGCAAGCAATAACCAAAAAGAAGGAGAAGAAAGAGATTTGTTTAATAAAATATACATTTCTCTTGTTGAAAACCCAAGTGATCTTCATGCTCTTAAGTTTGTTGAAGATGTTCTTGATGATGATCATCATGTTCTTGATGTTCTTAATGTTCAAGAAAAAGGAGTTCAAGTTGATTCTTATGATGAAAAAGTTTTTTGCTCGATTGGAGTTCAAACCGATGATATTTTGTGTTCTTGTGATTCGTTTGAAGGAATGATTCCTTATCGGAAGCCGGTGATCCAAGAAATTCACAAGTATCAAACTCCAAAAGATTTGATTCAAACTCAAGAAGTTGTGGAAAGTGGGTTTGTTCATGGAGTCAAGTCTTCAAGATGCAAAAATATGATAAAGAAAAAGAAGAAGAAGATTAATCGGAAGAACAAGCGGGTTTATTCACAAAAATCGTCAAATGTTGTTGTGAATCCGAAATCCGTGAAGCAAATTTGGATTCCAAAGCAACAATCTCCAAATGTTGCATTGAATTTGAAATCAAAACCCAAAAGTGTATGTGGTTCTTTTGAAGATGTTATTGGATCGTTGAAGAACACGAAGAACGAGTTGTACATCTCGCATAATGGTGGTACAATGTTCAAATCGGAGATTTTCTCATTCCAACAAAAGAACCAAGATATTCTAAATTTGATTCGTTCGTTGAAAACGGAACTCGATTCGTCAAAAAGGTATCTCAAATTCTCAAATAGATTCCAAAACATCCATGATTTCGATTCGTACTTTACGTTTTTCATTTTTGATCGATTTGTCTTATTGGATCAAATCCGTTTCAACCCCATTGATTGATCCAATTATTTTTTTAGATCAAATAATAAAAATCAAAATCATAATCTCATAATTTTTTTTCTCTCGAAATTCATTTTTGTTACTCAACTTCGAAATGTTACTGTTCGTGATTTGTTGTAGTCCAAAACTTGATCAATGTTCATGTCCAGTCTTTAAGCCCAAACTTTTTTCAATCCAACACTTGATAACTGTTTGAGCCCAATTCGAAATTGAATGATCGAACACTATTTGTTTTAGTCCAAATCAGAATGTGTTATCACTTTCTCATTTGTTCTTCAGTTCTTGACTATCGACTCTTTATTTGTGAGTCATATCGTTTTCTTTTTCCAAATCATGGTTTGATTGGCTGAAAATTGTAATCGATTTCTTGATTTTGAGTCTCGATCGTTGTCATCGTACTGTTTGTCTCTTTATCACGATTCAAGTTATGAATCGGATGTGTTGACTGTTGAACTGAATCGAATTTCTTTTGATGTTTACTGATGAACACCGAATGATCAATCAAGAACAAGATCAGTATGTTGAATCGGTATTTTTGATTTGAAAATTGATTTGGAAGAAATAAATTTGGTGTTCATTGATAACAGTTTATCAGGGTCAAAGTTCGTGTTCGTTGAAGGCTCGTTGCTCAGGATGATTGATTTCGAAATCGGTTGGGATTAATTGTCTAATGTGTTGAAATCGACGATATTTTGATTTTGATTACAGTTCTAAAGTCGAATTGCTTTGTGAAGATTGGTATCGATTTTATGATTTGAGTTGAACTCGATAACGATGGCAGATAATGAAATCGAGTTGAATATGTTCATTAAGATGTTATTTTAAGAAAGCGAATAAGTTGGTTGGGATCAAATCGAAGTGTGTTTTGTTGCTGTTTTTGAATGATAACAAAGAATTTGGCAGTTGATTTTGATTTCGAAGTATGATATATCGGATAACTGGTTGACGATTCGTGAATGAAAAAGCGAAGGCTTTCAATCGATCGAAATTTGAAGAAAATTAAAGGACGATTGATGATTTTGGGGTTAGATTTCGAAGGTATTTGATTTGGATTTGAAGTAGATTGATCAAATGGTGAGTATTGAAATGTAATCGACTGGGAAAAGCGAAGACTGTGAACTCAAGTGAAGGATGTCGATTGGTGATCGATTTTGAAATCGTGAATGGATTTTGATGTCGATGATTCCAAGTTTGATTTCGAAGATCATCGACATGACGAATTTGATTTCAATGTGCGAAGGGTCTGGTAATATGGAACGAGATGTCAAGAATCGAGGTTTGGACTAGGTTGATTCCTTGAGAAGGACTATGATTTTGGCTTGATAACGAATTCGATTTTGGGTTGATTTCGTAATCTGAATGACAATTTTCGTTAACATGAGATTTGTTGCTGAGTAATGAAGAACGAAGGGTCAATGTTAGTTTGTTTATGGGTATCGATTGGAAAGAGTCGATGTTTGTAGTCTGGACTTGGATTAAGAAGTGACGCTGATTTCGAATGTTTGGAGTCGATTGCTGGGTTTGTTTGATAAGAAGAATTGAATTTGGAAATTTATTGATAACGAATGATGTGACTTCGTTAAATGGGTGTGTTTGATCAAGGATGGTATTGTGTGTGTTCGTGTAATCGATTAACGAAGGGTGTGGATTAACGAAGGGTATGGATTAACGAAGGGTGTGTTTGTTATCTTACTAAAAAGCGAAGAGTGAGCCGAGAATCGTGACTTCGTTCTCTAATTAACGAAGTGAAGAAGAAGGATAACTTCATGTTTCGAAATTTATCCCTCAACATTTAACGAAGTGGCAAAATTAGCCCAATTTCGAAAGTTTGAAGAAAGTACAGAATTTTCGAAATGAGTCTATGCAGTTTCGAAATGTTGGCAACAAATACCCAACTTCGAATTTGGACTTATTTTCTGAGAAAATGAAGATTTTGTGCAAATTTACGCTTTATGCCCAGTTTCGCAAATGGGATAGAGTTTCGCATATTAGACTGGTTTTGGCGTAATGAGTCCCTGCAGGTTTCAGAAAGTGACAATTTCTACCCGATTTTTGAAAAATCTTGCAACTTTTCATCCAAAAAGTCAAAAATGTTCATAAATTGGAAATTTTTTGTGGCTTTTTCGTGATTGTTTTTCCGTGCAAGATTTTTGGTGTTTCATTTTTGGCACACATCAAGGGGGAGTTGTCACACCCCCAAACCAAGGATGACGGAAATGTCCGGGGGTGGAGGACTTCATGTATAGTATCACAACAACGAGTATAATAGTGCTCAAAGTAAATACAACCATCATAAATATAATTGAAAAGGTTACACCATAGTATATGTTTACATGTTCAAGATCAATTACATTATGATGACAAAATGAACTGTTTGACGATTTAACGTCCCATCCTCAAAATGCTGTTGGTTTCCTGTTTCACTGATTTGCTGAGAATACAAGTAGTTTTGAAAGAGTGTCAACAATTAAGTTGGTGAGTTCATAAGATTTTTATTTGAGAAGGAAATCGTTTTTCCTTTGTAAAAGAGAATGAGTCTGATTCCAGAAAATCCAATATTTTCTTTATGAGATGCGAAATGAAAGTTTCTATGTTAGGAAATAATGTACTCTAGAAGATCCATAGATTCCTTCTATAATCACCCAGTGTATATAAGTTATATAAAATTAAAGTTAAATAAACTAAGTCTTGAAAAGTTTTAAATACTTTAAACTTGTATATGTGTGTAAAACCTTATGCATAAAAGTATTCATGTATAGAAGTCTTGAAACTTTGGAATACTTTAAATTGGTAGTATGCATATCATATAAGACTAAAAATGAATGTTTCAAATTAATGAACATATGTACATGTTTAGGTTGTCGTAAATGCGATTTAGTGATAGAACACCGCGTAAATCTTATGTTTTGCGAATACCCTAAGTGAGTTATTATAACCATGCTATGACCTAGTTGGCCTGAAACGACGTTCTTCAGGCGTCGGAACTGTTATGACATTTGTCACCCGTAGACCTCGAGGTCCTACTGCAACTAACAGCGAGGTGTGGGGTGTCAATCCCAATATAGATCTATACACAACTATCACGCTCTCCCTCAAAGAGACTCTGGTTACAATTACAGGACTTTTGATTTAGTTACCTTGGAAGTAACGTGAAGCGAGTGTCTCACAAAGTTATTCATTTACAGATTTACGTGAGGTGATCCGAAAACTCTTTTATGTAGAAATAAAACCTTTCG